GATCAGAAAGTCCTTACAGTTATGCTAAGACTGACAAGATTTGCTTCTTGATTCCGCTTTTTCTTTCTAAACGAATTAAGCCCTCTGGCAAAGTAATTTCATGTTATTCCATTTGAAAGTCCTTCAGTTAGCTTCATGACTATTCCATACTTTTGTAATAGCAATAATTGCGTTATTCAGATCGCTTAATATGAAAAGCTGTGAAAATATTGTGGTACTGAGGACAAAAGTAAGTCTGAAAGACACTAAGATGGCATATAAATATCGATAACTATGGATAACCACCAGCTGTTGATGAACTGAAACGTTCTTGCTGCGTAATTTTCGTTGATGACCAATAAAGCTCAAACAGTTAAATGGCTCAGACTTGTGGTGCGTGACCTGATAGATAGAGATTGTGCCTTAGATTAATACTAAGCACTTTTGCTGTCACCCGTAAAATGGTCATATTCTTCATCTACGCAACTCTACCTAAAAGGTGTTTTTAGATTTTTTTATTACCTTTCGTCACGTCTACGGTCAGTGGCTTATTCCCTTACAGCAAAAATGATTAGAGAAATGTCAAATTAAAATGATGGTGCTGTTTCTTTTGAGCTTTCTTTTCTTGTTTTATTATTGCTTGAATAAGATTACTGAAGTGCCCTTTGTTCAATATATGTGATAAATAAACATCAAATGCATGATATTAATCTAGTGAAGATGAAAGTAATTAATAATTCCAAGGATATCGGGCAGGTTAACGAATGGTACAAATGAAAACACAGAGAACTTACAAGCCATCGTTGAACAGAGCATAATAATTATAGGAAAAAATTAGTCCCTGTCAGGTCTCAATCCTTTCATGCTTCAGAGGTAAATAAATGGGCACCACTTTGTAGATAACAGGAGATTACACGCTCTAGTGGTCACTTCACTCTATATACAGCCTTTATAGTAAAGCAACAAGAAAATTTTCGCTGATAAATCAGCATCTCAAATGCCATGAAAAGAGACGACAAATGACGTTTAAGGCATATATAACGGTCAGATATGAAATCGTACGAGAGACTGTTATCGTAACTGTTAAAAGCTTTCCTTTCTTTCTCTTAAAATTATTTAGATTAATTACTTGATTAAAGTGGCATCGGGATTCTGTGAAAGGTCGTATGATCCGATGGGAGAGAATTGTAAAATTGGCTTTAGTGTTTCTTAGTAACTGTTAAATTTTATGAGAAAGAGATTCATTTGACCTTGCCTTAGTGCAGCCAGCTGAGGAACAAGTATCCCTTGATGACCTGCATACCATGGCAAGGGCGTAGTGTCTGATGTGGTCAGAATACCAGTATTTTTTTTACTGCGGTGAGCCTTGCCATCTTGATAGTCCACTTAGCCCATGGAGCAATACCTTAAGCGAACAACACATGTTGTTACCTTATCGAATGTGGAATCACAGTTGCTGGCAATTCGGTCCATGTTTCACAGAAGGGTTCCATTTACTAACAGTCAAAACTTTAGCAGCGTATACTAGTGAGAAATGCAACTGAAATATTGACGGTAGTTGATCATAAGGTGATGGATTAAGTTGTGTTGTATGAAATGAAGTATTGTTTGTTAGTTTTACTATGCTACAAACGAAATTTGGAAGTTGCGCTTCGATCTATTGAAATGCAGAGTTTTGATATTACCGGTTTTTACACAGCAAGTAAGCAACACAATTATTTGCTTACAATTTCACTATTGTTTTTCATATTGATGCCCATCAGTTCATGCAGAATTTTATTCAGCATCTAGACTTAATTTTACAAGTATATTCATTTAACCTTCCTATTTTATTTTACACTGTTGCAGCGAATGTTACGAACTAGACTGTTGTTTCTGGCTGCAAAACTATGGTCATTTTCGTTAATGCAATCAGTATAGAAAGCTGTAACTAAGTGTTTCATTGCAATATCTGTTGTACATAACGTCCATTATTCTGTAATCTAAAACTAAATTTAATTTTTAGGTATTAATTTACTGTGATATTTTAGGCTTGATCATGAAGGCGGTCCATTTGAGTCGAATTTCAGAAAGCTGGTCGGTTGCAGCTTCTGCCAAGAGGAAGGCGATTTCTCTAATCACATTCACCTCCATCCAAACAGCCCTGCTTTGTCTCCAGCGTTCAGCTGCTTTACTTACTCAGAAAAGTGCCGTGGGAAATCAAAAAAGTTCATTGAAAGACTATCAGATTCTCAAAACAGTGTGCTCAGGACTTGCTGCTGTGACAGGCATCCATCGGTGACGCCTCCAGATGTTCCAGATGGTCATGTTGCAGGCACTGCCAGTGTCAGTGACCAGAGAAGTGGCTCTTTACCTGTTTCATTGACCAGATTTTGTTTCCAAGTGAAAGACGACGAAAATCCGGAATTGAAGGCAGTGATGTTATCAACGTTACCTAAAGCCAGAAACAGGTTACTTGATCTCCAGAACCTTGATAGTGGCATAGGGTATGGTTTAGAAACATTATTTTCAGTCGTTTCAGCGGTCATTCTTCGTTTCACATGCCCAAGCAATATAGTACCTTAATTTCGATTTATGGTTAGCTCTGGAACATGTGAACCCATTAAAACTAAATAATTTTATTGTACTTTTAGCCGTTTTCTCGCTCTTTTCAACTTTTAATGATGAATTTGTGATATAGATTCATGGAAGTGGTTTTATGCCATAAATGCTCTTTAGAAAACTAGGAGCATTGGGATAGGGGCGATTCGTGCGAAATTTCCATTGGAAGTTTATATAAATAAACTTTCCTGTAATTATGTACATCTGCGTTTTTCACCCTAAACTTATGCAGTTACGGCCAGCGTATATCGCTTGAACAGTTTACTTGCTTTACTAATATGCCATTAGCAGCTGACGATATCCTGCTGTTTGCAATAAGCCATGAGTAAATGGTTAGTAGTATGCCGCATTTGTTTACCCAAAGTATTCAGTCACACGAACAGTGAATCTTTATTCTCACAGCATACTCAAGGAATTCGTTCAGTCAAGAGACAAAATAAAATGATAAAATATACTTGAATAACTTATAAAGGTAAAGAATATACTAGATGGCCGAAATTAAGAGGAGAAATGAAATATTCTGGGCGCGTTTAGACAAGTAGCATGATTCTGAACGAGAGCTTGTGTTTAAGCATGAAAAGTCTTCGACAAATATATCAGACCTGTATTTACTTATGAGTATGAAACCTGGACGGTTAACAGAAAAATTTGAGAGGTATTAAAAAGAATTTGCAAACCGGATTCCATGACTTGATTATGGCGGAAAATAAACTGAAATGTAGTCGTGGGTTACACGTTTTTCAAAACGACCATATCGCTTTCATCAAATTCTCTCAGAAGTAAGAAACGATCAAGATAGAGATCAAAATCACAGGGCAAAGTAAAATAAAAAATTAGTTCCATGTGGATATGGGTCAAGGTAGATACGATGTTTAGATTGGAGCGGACCTTGGAACGGATCTCATCCAGCAGTGAATTGAAAAAGCTCTTCACTTCATAAATCTATATCAATATAATGTTGTGGATCTCTCCTGCTACCGATATATCTTCTGATTTCATAGCTACAAATCACGAAAGACAAGAACTTATAATATGATGAATCATGATTGTGGGTTTAATGCTGCGGAATCCAGGTCGAGATTCCAGAATTCCAATTTTTTTATTTGTATGGTTATAGTATAATATTTGTTGGTTATAGTTAATACCCTTGCCTATAAACTAATCAGTGAGATCATCTTCTTTATCTTCATCTTCCATCGCAGCTTCGCCTTTAGGGTCATGGAGGCAGACGCGTCATACAGAGCTTCCAACGTTCCCGATCCTGTGCCAGAGTATGAACTTCGGCAAAAGACAAATGGAGTCTGGAACAGACTCCTTCCATATATTTGCACCAGGTTGATCTTGGCCGTCCCCTGGCATTCTGCGCGTCGGTTTCACAACAAGCAGTTGCTTAACCTTCCTTTCTGGAGGCATTCGCAACACATGTCCAAACCATCGCAGCTGTGACTTCTCAATCTTGAGAAGCAAAGGCTGTACACCAAGGTTCTCTCGGATGTCAGTATTCCGGACCATGTCTAGACGCGTAAGGCCAACGACTAGTCTCAGAATGTCCGTTTCACCCGTTTGTAACCGAGACCGAAGAAACAGTTTCTCATTTGATTCTCTGGTTGCTTCTACCACCAGATCTTCGTACGGTACTCCATTTCTTACAGCGCAGCATGCAAGCAACAAAATGGTGATCGGTTGCTGTGTCTCTCTTAACGCGAACATCCATTACTGAGCGTCTTACCTCAGACGATACGATTATGAAATCGTTATTCCCTGTACCAGGTATATTTATGTACCCCCTACCCTTCAATATTCGAAGAAGGTGCTCATAATGGACCATCTGTTGTTGGCACAAAACCACAACAAGTATATGCCGTTATTGCTGATGTTGCTAGGGTAGTTTTGTTTCCAATCACGCCTTTCCACTTCTCAGCGTTTTTTCTGACGTGCGTATTAAAATCGCCCTTAAGTATGAGGTGCTCGGTATTCTGCACTTCATGCAGAGCACACTCCACTTCCTCA